GTCCCTTCCCAAGAACTTTGTAGTAGCCCGATCGCACTACATCAATGATGGGAGCTGCTCCAGTCTTGTCTTTGGCAGCATTTACTCGTGTCTGCTCACTGCCCAATGTCCACAATTTATCAAGGTTGACAGTTGGGCAGAAGCTCTGGTTTCTCTTTAAGTGGTAAGGCCTCATACCAGCCTTCCCAAAGTCACCTGGGTGATATCTGTCGAAGTTGATTTTGTGATGATGCATGCCACCAGCGTTACCCCAGCCTCCGGGGTGCTTCCGGTGCTTGCCGATGCGCCCATGGCTGTGGCTCACGCGGCCCCGAAGCTTTCGCGTCTTTCTTAGTCTGGAGGGCATGTCGGCGGCCGAGACGAAAGGGTGTACTGCGTATTATAAAATCTGACACTGCTGAATACTTGGTTATGTAATCAATACCTTTAGTCCAAATTATAGAAGTAACAAATTATAGAAATTTTAATAATTTAATAGTTATTTTTCAAATTATGCTCTTCTCAATTTTGAACTTAAAGGCCACTCTCCAAATATACACTTTTCGGACCAGCCTGATAGCTCAGTGGATTAAAGCGCCTGCCTAGGCAGAGCGCAGTGGCTGGGGTTCGATCCCCTACCCCCAGGGCACGCTGAGACAGCGATTGAGACTGGGCGTGGCGACGTGCACCTGTAATCCTCACGCCTGGGAGGCCGAACACCATGTAGATAAGTCTGATCTCCGCAGTGAGACCCTGTACACCCTTACAAAAATACGAAAATACCCAAAACCCAAAAGAACAAATATACACTTCTTTTCTCTTTATACCATATATAAACGAAGTATAAAGAGTCCAATTATTTTATTTTTTCATTCTTAGAATTTCCTTTTGGCTCTTTGCAGTAAATTATAACAAACAGTAATTAATAGGGCCGGGGAGATGGCTCAGTAGGATAAGCGATTGACTGGCAAATGCAAGGATCTGAGTTCAATCCCCGGTTCCGCAAAACAAAACAAAACAAAACAAAACAAAACAAAACAAAACAAAACAAAACAAAACAAAACAAAACAAAAAAGTAATTAATAGATTTCAACTCCCGCTGGGGAGACAGCCCAGAGCCACAGGCACCTGCTGGGCAAGCGCCAGGTCCTGGGTTAGATTCCCACTATCAAAATCAAACCAAACCAAACAAACAAACAAAAAATAGATTTCAATTATTTGATTTCTTTCCTTTTTTGGCTGTTGTCAAAACTTCTCAGTAGAGCTGTGGATGTGGCGTGTGCTACCACACACAGTCAGCGAGTGCAAGTCCTGGGTTGAATTTCCAGCACCAAAAACAAAACAAATAGAAAAGTTTCTGGTTTATCTTTTATAATTTCTTATTACTTGCAGGCATTTCCCAGCTGGATTCTTATTTCTTCAAATACCGTGAAACATAGTTATAATACATTTTAGATCCATTATCTGGGTATCTTACAAGACTGTTTCTGCTCTTTAGTGTTTTTGCAGGATCTTGTTCATTATGTCTGGTTTTCTTTTGCATCCAGAAATTGTTACTTGTTTTCCCTGGAAAATTATGTTAGAAATTCCTTTTTTTTTTTTTTTTTTTTTTTTGGCAGAACTGGGGATTGAACTCAGGTCCTTGCCAGACAAGCACTTATTCTACTGAGCTATCTCCCTGGCCCCAGAAATTTCTTGAGGCTGAAGATGAAGGTGCTTTCCTTCAGAAAATGTGGTTTTTATTTCTTTTTTAAAAAATTTTATTTGTGTGTGTGTGTGTGTGGCCAGCTCAGCCCACCAGGGGGCGGGGCTGGCTGGCATGTGGTGCTGGGGGATTGAACCGTGGTCCCTGTGCTTTGCTAAGCTTGTTCTAAGTAGGTGCTTTAGACCACTGAGCCATCTCACTAGCCCCTGTGGTTTTTATTTCTGCAGGGCACTTAGAGGTATTAATTTCCTGAACTCTTTTATTTATTTTCATTTATTTATTTAATTTTTTTCAGAACTGGGGATTGAACTCAGGCCCTTGTGCTTGCCAGGGAAGAGCTTATTCCACTGAGCCATCTCCCTGGCCCCTTCTTGAACTCTTTAAATGCCAGACCTGGACAACCTGGAAAGTACTGGATCACTCCAGATAATGTAAACTTGGGACACAAGTCAGTTCCACTACCAGCTAGCGGTTACAGCTTAGAGACAGAACCTCCCAATCAATTCAGCACTGAGGCAGCTTCCTTAAGTCCCCTGGAGGTGATGGTGGGGTACATGTCAGATTCAGTCCTGTAGTGGGGGTATGCCCTTTGCAGTGATAATTCTTTCGAGAAATCTGCAGGATTCCTTATCTTGGTTCCACCAAAGATGACTGCAAAAATCTGAAGCTCAAGTGTCAATAAATGTTCTCAAATTAAATTTGAGTCTTTTTTTTTTCTTTTTTAGTTCCTGCCTCTTCTAATATTTGTTTGCTGCCCAGCCAGGTCTTCTATGCTATTCAAATAGTTTGCATTTATGTTTTAACCAGAAAGATCAGTCTAGAATCCAACCCATTAAAATACTGGAAATATAATATCCTTTAATTTTAATTATTTTTTTAATTTTATTTATTTCTTTCTTTATTTTATTTTTGTGTGTGTGTGGCCAGCTCAGCCCACCAGGGGGAGGGGCTGGCTGGCATGTGGTGCTGGGGAATTGAACCGCAGTCCCTGTGCTTTGCTTAGCTTAGCTTGTTCTTTAGGTGCTTTAGACCACTGAGCCATTTCACCAGCCCAATTTTAATTAATTTTTAAAGGGCCGAGGAGATAGCTCAGTGGAATAAATGCTTGCCTGGCAAGCACAAGGTCCTGAGTTCCATCCCCAGTACCATCAAAAAAGAAAAAATAATAACAATTTTAAAAAATATAAATTGGGTCAGGCATGGTGGTGTACACCTATAACTTTGGTACTCAGGAGGATGAGGCAGGAGGGCTGTGAGTTGGAAGGTAGCCTGGATGACATAAAAAGTTTAAGTTCATCCTGGACTGCGTTGCAAGAACCTGTCTCAAAAGTAAATAAGAGGCCAAAAATTCACGGGCACTTAATTCATAGACGAAATACAAATGCATGAGGCTCTGGATTTGATTCCTAGCACAAACAAAGAAAGAAGATGAGAGGGCCAGAGAGATAGCTCAGTAGAATAAGTGGTTGCCTGGCTAGCATAAGGTCCTGAGTTTGATCCCTGGTACTGAGAAAAGAAAAAAAATGAGGAAGAAAAGGAAGAGGAGGAGGAGAATGGAGAAAAGACGGAAAAATAAAAGTAGCCAATAAACACATGAAAAAAAAAAGTTTAACCTCATAAATAAGCAACAAATTAAAAACTACTCTGGGGGGCCGGGGAGATGGCTCAGTGGAATAAGTGCTTCCTTGGCAAGCGCAAAGGACTGAGTTCAATCCCCGGTTCCACCAAAAAAAAAAAAAAAAAAAAAACTACTCTGGGCCCACTAGCTTAGCAAAAATCACACATTAGTAATATTAAATGCTTGCATTGTGGGGGCATTATAAATTAGGGAAGTATTTTTTGAAAGCATTTTGACAGAATCTATCAAAATAACCTATGTACACATATTGATGCAGAAACACTGCTTTTAGAAATCTTTTCCAATAACTAATCTCATGATGAATGCCTGATCCAGGCACTCTGGGAGGCTGAAGTGGGACGATCACAAAATCAAGCCCCCTGAGCAACTTGGTGATTTAGTGAGACTGTGTATCAAATTTTTAAAAAGTGAAAAGGGTTAGGGATGTAGCTCAGTAAGGAAGGCCTGTATTTAATCTTCAGTACACAAAAACAAAGAACAGAAGGAAGGAGGGAAGGAAGGAAGGAAGGAAGGAAGGAAGGAAGGAAGGAAGGAAGGAAGGAAGAAAGGAAGGAAGAAAGTTTTTGTCTGAGCAGTATTTGCACATGTGAATAAAGGAATACTATATAGACCTTGAAACACTTTACAATAGAAAAAAATCAGAAACCACTTAAATGTTCATCAGTAGGAGAAAGGCAGCTGAGTGGGGTGGCACTTGCCTATCATCTCAGCTACCCTGGTGGCTGAGGCAGGAGAGTCACAAACTCAAGGCCAGTTTGGGCAACTCAGTGAGATCCTGTCTCATAGGTGGGGTGGCTGGGGATGAAGCTCTGTGGTACAGCATTTGCCTAGCATGCCTGGTTTGCCCACCACTACCACACACACGAAAAGAATAAGACAGATTGATTGTTGCACCACCATGTCAACTGATTGGGCAAACATAAACGTAATGATATGGGTAAACATACACTGTATACGGACACATGAATGTGGGATATTACGTACTGGGGCAAAACAAAACTTATACTCTTTAAATCTTCTAACAAGATAATTACTCCTGGGCTGGTGAGATGGCTCCGTGGTCTAAAGCACCTACTTAGAACAAGCTAAGCTAAACAAAGCACAGGGACCACGGTTCAATCCCGCCAGCCAGCCCCGCTCCCTGGTGGGCTGAGCTGGCCACACACACACAAATAAATAAATAAATAAATAAACAAAATAAATAAATAAATATTTAAAACTTTAAAAAAAAAGATAATTACTCCTTTGGAGCTAATGATGGGGAAAAGAATCAGAAAGAGTCTCCTGCCTGTCCCTTTCTCTTCCTTCCCAACTCTTCTGCACAGAGACCTCACCATCTTCGGGCTCTCTAATGGATTCCTTTTATGTGTACGTGTGCACGATGCGTGTGTGTTTCTAGGAATGGAGCCCAGCCCCCCCCCCCATGTGCTCTACCACTGAGCTACAGCCCAGTCCATTCAGCAACTACTGACTGAGGACTCTGACCAGTATCCAGTGTGTATACTGGCTCTGGCACTTCTCACACCAGTGTACGTTGTTGTTTTCCTCACCTTGGTAGTCTGTGTGTCTCCTGTATCTATCATGATGTTGTCCGTTTGGGTCTGAGAGCGCCCAGCACCACGCAGGAATGAACAGGGAAATTTTAACCTGCACTGCGAGGCCTGAGTGACACCTAGCTAAGTGAAGGGGACTTTATTTTTCGTCATTTCAAATTCTTCTCCGCGAGCCTAGAGAAGCTACTTCTGCTGCTGCGCAGATAATCCGCCAGGGGCCTGTTTCTGCACGGCCGGACGTAGCCAGTAGGTGGCAACCACGGGCGGGAATTGGAGTGCGTCGGGTTCGACAGTCCAGGCTGACGCCGAGGTGCAGGGACCGAGGAAGGGGTTTGCCAAGGCAGGGTCAAAGGAGAGCGATAAGGATTTACTTTTTGGCCTAAGTGGAAATGGCACGGTATCTAGGTACCCAGAAGCTCTGCGAAGTTTCTTCAGCCTCCGTCCACCTGCAACGGTGCCCTGTGCCCGGGAGTCCTGTCCAGACTTCGCTCCTCAGGATGCCCTTGAAGCCTCTTCCAGCTCCCCAGGCCGCGTCTCGGCCCTTCCTGCCTGTGCTAATAGAGAGAAAGGGTGATTATAAACATGTAAAGTGTATATGCATTGAAAAAAGTTTCCATTTGATGGAGTAAGATTACATGAAAACTTTCCCTCGTTTCAAAGTCATCAAAATATGGTACTTTGAGGGCCAGGGAGATAGCTCAGTAGAATAAGCACTTGCCTGGCAAGCACAAGGGCCTAAGTTCAATCCCCGGTTCTGGGGAGGGGGGGAAAGGCGAAGGAGTGTCGCAGGCTCTGATCTTATCCCTTTGCTGCTGGGGTCTCCTGGGAGTTCATCTTGGCTCACCATCCCCTTATCTCCTCAACTTCATGTGCTGCACAGGCTTCTTTGACACTCTTATTATCCCTTTCCTCCAGCTTCTGACCTTCATTATACTGAAAGCTCTGCCTGCCTGCCTGCCTGCCTGCCTGCATGCCTGTCTCATAAACCCTCATGACAATCTGTCTGGATTGAGGCTTATTTTCATCCTTTCATCTCCAGCCCTCTCACCCTCTGGCTGGAATTTTGGCCCGGAGTCTCCTGAGAATTCCATCAGGTGAGAAGGAAAGAGACAGTGAGAGGAGCACACTGTGTCCATTCTACAGAGGAGGAGCATGGGAAACAGTAAATTCCACTTTGTTAGCTATACTGGGGAATGAATCCACAGTCTTTGCACTGAGCTATATCCTAGACCTTTTCATTTTGGGCCAGCAGCTTGCTAAGTTGCCCAGGCTCGGTTTGCACTTGTGATCTTTTGCACTCAGCCTCCTTCAGTGCTGGGGTTACAGGCTGAGTCTGGTTTGCAACACTTACCAGTCACCCCTAGGTAACCACACACCTTTACCTCATCCTCTTACTTTCTTGTTTAATCTTTTCCCTGCAGAACCCCCCCCCCCCAATGCTTGTGGCAGATACAACTGGATAGTCAGTAAGGAAATAGCTCAACCCAGCCTATGGACAAGGCACAGGATGGGACCAGTGGACTGGGGAAGAGAATGGAGGAGGTGGCTTCTGACCCAGCTCCGGCCTCTTCTGGGGGTTCTATGTGACCGGCCATAGGTCATGCCCCCTACTCCCCCACCTCAATCTACATGACAAAGCCAGCAGCTCATAACTCAGAGCCAGCCAGGGAAGTCTGGGATTGATTTAGGGCTGCTCACCCCCACTGGATGATGGCCCTGGGGTAGGGTGGGGAGAAGGGTCATGAGTGAAGTTCAGGCAGCAGGGTCCTGAGCACCACTACATAGTACCCGTACCAGATCTTTCAGCATGTCTAGTGGAGTGGGGGACTGGGGTCTGTTTTCTCTGACTCAGCTTGGGGGTCCTGTGGAGTGAGCAACATTCCTAGGCTGGTGGATGTTCAGGGACAGCATCCTGACGATTCAGGCTCAGAGAATCTTATAAAGCAAACAGCTTCCGCATCTACCAAAAGGACAGTCAATTAAATACTAAGGTTCTGGGGCCGGGGAGATGGCTCAGTGGAATAAGTGCTTGCCTAGCGAACACAAGGACCTGAGTTCAATCCCCAGTTCTGCAAAAATAAATAAATAAATAAATAAATAAATAAATAAATAAACTAAGGTTCTGCACCTCTTGCTACCAGCCTTTTTGCAACCATAGGGTTCCACAGGCCACCCCTTTCCTCCTGACCTGGTACATTTCATGTTTTCCCTTCCTTCCATTTACCATCCTCTCCTGGAGATATCATTGAAACATTCGCTTGAGGCTGAGTGTTTTAAGTTTTCTGAACACAACTAAAAGTAAGTATGCTGGCCAGCAAGATAGCTCAGCAGACTAAAGCACCTGCTTAGCCAAGCTTAGGCAAGTGCAGGGACTATGGTTCGATCCCCAGCATCACATGGTGTGCCAGCCCCGCCCCCAGGGCAGGCTGAGCTGGCCACAGAGTCTGGGCACAGTGATGCGCACCTGTAATCCTGGCGCTGGGAAGGCTGACAGCAGGAGGATCATCACCAGTCCAAGCTACATAGTGAGATCCTGCAACAACCAAATACATAAAAAAAAGGAGAGAGTAAGTATGTTTACATCAGAACCCAGGACACTTGGCCATACACATAATCTATAAAACTTGGTGATGTTTTCTGCTCTATTTTATTTTGTGGTAAGAAAAAAGTTTTAGAAGTAATTTTATGAACAACTAATGGCCTGCCACGCATAGTTTATAATATACAACTTCTTACATTTTTTAACCCCTTCCTAAGTTTGAAAGCCAACTTACAAACCTAAGCCATCCTGCTATCTTCATCAAAGCAAGAGATAAGAGTAAGACAGTGTTTCGTGGACCCATTTGCTAGGTGAGGAAGCAAGGCTCAGGGGTTGATGAGTACACTTGATCACCTGGCTGGCACATGGTAGAGACGAGGTTCCAAATTAGATCTTTTGTGTGCCTGGTCCTGGTCCGCTACACCCTGTCTGTAGCATCTCCTTCCCTCTCCTCTGAAGCCCTGGAACTTGAGTTCATTGTCAGTCCCAGTTTGCAGGCCACCCCCTTCTGTGGGGAAGTCAGAGGGGCAAGCAGCTGAATAATTCTGCTTTCCGTGTCATCTGTTAACACGGCACCATCTGTCAATTCTACCCAAGAGACCAGAGTGGGGGAGGAGGCCATTTTCCTGGAGTCTGGCCCTCAGGACCCTCCCATCGAAGGCGGCAGGCACCCACAGACAGCTCATTTTCCTGCCCAGAACCAACAGCAGTGAACTAGAACTACAGGGGACCACCCACCAGGGGAGCGAGATGGGAGGAGGGACTTGCATAGGGTGAGTCACCCCCGCCACTCACTCCTCATCCTTCTATCTCCAGGGCTGTGAGCAGGGTGAGCAGGTCTCTGCAGCAGGAGCCCTGCAAGCCTTGCCTCACTGGGAGGCAGACAGAGGGGGCTGTGGCAGCCTGTCTCACAGGGGCCCCGGGCAGATTTATGGAACCTCGGGTGTGGCTGGTTGTTACTCAGCCTCTGACTTTTTAATTCCCCAGTCTCCTTACCCACCCCGCCCCCTCCCAAGAAGGCCTTTGTGCAGGACAATGAAGAATCTATAAATTCTAGGGGATAGGGAGGTGGGGGAGGGGAACACTGGTCACTTCAGCGCCCCCTACCCGTTCTGGGAGCCATGCATAGCCAGCGGGGAGTGACCTCCAGGTTCCTGCCCCATCCCAGCTGGGTCCCACTGGAGCCAGAAAGGGAGTCAAAGCCTCATCCCATCTTTTAAAGGTAAAGAAGCCAAGCCTCAGAAATTGCTGGTGTCTCTAGTCCCTGCTGCATTCACTCCGTGGTTTTCCTTCTCTTGCTGGTCCCTTCACTCAGGCATTCACTCAACAAACATCTACAGAATTCTACCCTGTGCCAGAGAAAGTGCAGAGGAAGCAATGATTGATGCCACCCAGGTCTCCTGCCCTGGAGGACCACTCAGCAGTAGGTTGTTGTTCAAGAGCTGTCAAATCATAGTTCTGGGTGAGCGCGGGAGCACACACCTGTTATCCTAGCACTCAAAGGCTGAAGCAGGTGGATCTGCCATGAGTTTGGAGGCCAGCCTGAGCTACGTAGTGATTTCAAGGCCAGCCTGAACTACATAGCAAGACCCTGACCGCGTCCCGCCCCCCTCCCCGAAAAAAAAGCATAGCTCCATTGCCAGCTATCCTGCTGGTAACCTGTACCCTCTCCCCAATTCCTTGGTTCCTCCACGTGCAAACCCTCACTTATGTCTCTCCACCTGCCTGCACATGCAGCTTCCTGGTTGCTCAGGGTCACCCCTCTGGCACCAAGCCTTTTCCATTGTGCAGCTGTGGGTGCTGTGAGGACTTGGATACGGCTGTGGCCCAACTGCCTTTATTCTCTGGACCAAGCCAGCCGCATGCTCAGCCCGTCCCTGTGCTCACCCTGGCCTGGGGTCTTGTTCTATCACTGTTGTGCTCCACCTTGTGCGGTAGGGATTCACACCATTCCAGGCTCACCCTTATATTTATTTTCCCAGCCACAGGTCTTCATTAATGAAAACAATGCTTACCCTGCCTGTTTGTGTTCCCCAAAAACCATGCACTCTGTATGTGTCCTGGTGTGGGTCTGTGAGTGCATTTTTGTACTGCTTTGTAAACTGAGGACATCAGTGCTTACTTCCTAGAGAAGGTGTACAAATTAAACTAGTTAAGCCATGCAACATACTTAAAGTAATACCCATCCATAGTATTCAATAAGGGGAGGCTGCTAAGATTACTGTTGTAATAAGCCACAGGCTTGCCTATGTGTGCAGGCACCTTGGTGAGCAGGTGGATACTGGTTTGCAGCTGGCTCGACAAGAACGACTCCTTTGGGAGGTAATCGAATGTGCCAGCTTTCAGTTCATTCCCCAGGGGCTGCTTCACCCCTGACATGTCTGGAGTACGGAGTACTGCTAAGGTTGGTGCCAGGCTCTGCACTAGCGGAAAGCAAGAGAGATGAGCTCCTGGGCCCATACAGCTGACATTCCGGCAAGTGATACAGACTGCAAGTGAAGTGAGGGAGAGAACTACATAACTGGATTCACTGTGGTGAATCCAGTGGAAGAAATACAGAAAGTAGCACGGCACGTAGCTCAGGCAGAGGGCACTGCTTTGTGTGCCCCAGGGTGATTGGACAGTGACAATCTGGGATGGAGCTCAGGAGAGTGATCTAGGCACAGGGACAGGCAAGGCCAGGGTGGGGGTGGGGTGGGAGCAGGGCTGGCTGTCAAGTTCAAGAAACAGGAAAGCAGCCATGTGAGTGGTGTCACAGGGGAGATGACAGGAGGAGAGTTGGCTCAGGCAGGGCCTGGTGGGACGCTAAGGTGACTGCGAGCAGGCGTGCTGGGTGGCTTCTGATCTGTGTTTTTAAGGGTCTCTGGTGCTCCTGTGAATTACTGTCAGGGAGCAGCAGAGCAAACAGGAGCCTTTGCAGTCGTGCAAGGAAGTGAGCTGGGCTGGGGTGGTGGTGGTGGTGTTTACACAGTGGCCGGTCAAGATCTAGCAGGTACAAGGACAAGGTTCAGGCTGAGGGTGGGAGAGGAGTTCAGGAAGGGAGAAAGGACCAGGGAGCCAAACTGGTCCAGTCACTTCCCTCTTGGGCCACGGGCTCCCTCCTGCCCTCTTGACCCTGCCCCTGACCTACGGGGCCAACTCTAGCCATTTGCTCTCCCTCTCCCTATGCTGCAGCCCTAAGCCAGGGACAGTCCAGGCTGACTCATCCAGCCCTTTGTGATAAAGGTCCCCTGTGGTCCTCCACAAGGAGTCAGCATGCGCGTGCCAAGGACCCGGCTCAGATCTCAGGTTCCAGGCCCCTTCTCCAGGTCCCGGCTCCGAGCTGCTTAGGCCACAACATGCACATCTGTACAACACCCCCAGCCTGTGCCAAGGGCTTGACGTGCAAACAAATGGCAGCTTTGAAAAATAACTGCAGGACCAGGGATCTGGGGGGCACTGGCCTGAAAGAACTCAGGCACGAGGAACATTTCAAAGGCCCTGTCCCCGAGGAAGCAGGTATCCCCAACGCGGCACTCATGCCCTGTCCTCTGGGAGTTGGGACTCCTGCTCAGCGCTCCCAGACCTCTACCCTCACCCCCACCCAGGACCTGCGCAGCAGATCTTCCGGCCTCCGGCCCCGGGCAGCCCAGAGCGACAATAATTGCTGCCATCTGCTCCCGCCGCCGGCCCCTCCCCCGCGGTCGGCCGAGGGGAGCCCCTCTCCTGTACACCGCTCCGCAGCCTGCCTGCAGCCCGCACGAGCCCACCTCACCCATCCAGCTCTTTTGGAGACGTGGGACCCCGCTGGAGTCGCATGGGGAGACGAGACCCAAGACCCCAGTGTTCGGCCCCGCCCGGGGGAAGGCAGATAGGGACGGCCCGCGCACTCGCAATCCGGGGTTCCCTGGGTGCAGACTCAGCGGCCAGTAAGCCGGTGCCAAAGTAGTGGCGACGAGGCCTCGGACCTGAGCCGGGGCCGGCTGCCTTTCCCACCGGCTGGAGGACCTTGAGCGCCTCAGAGGTGGGTCCTGTGCACCAGTGGACACGCAGCGCCGGCTCCCGAGCGCGACCTGAGGATTGGGCTCCAGAGTGCGCGCGGAGAACGCGAAGGGCGCGGCGCGCCCGCCACCCGGCCCTGCGGAGGCGGAGCCGCAGGACCTGCGCCTTGGGCTGGGGAGCCCGCTAGAGTCCTGTCCAGCCGGAGAGCGAGGCTGCAGGCTGGCAACAGTGCTGGAGTGGCCCTGCGCCTTTGGGGATTCCCTGAGAGCTGTCAGGGCTTCAAATAACCGGCCTTGTTTTTCCTGAGAACACTTTTGCCAGCACCCTGAGCCCTTCTATTCCTTTCTCCTACCTGCTTCCTCTTCCTCTCCTTCGCTTCTGGCTGTGCTGAGGATGGACCGCAGCACTACACACACACACACACACACACACACACACACACACACACACGTGCGCTAGAAAAGTGCTCTACTACCACACCCTCAGTTCATGAGTTTTGTTTTATTTCTCACTGAAATACTCCTAGGACAGCCGTGAGACCCCGCACTAACCGGACCCAGGAAGCCACTCCCTCAAGTCCCTAGGCGGTGCAGACGTACCCCCCCCCCACCTCACTGGGTGTCACAGAGCCTGCTGTCTCCCTCTCTGCTCTGACAAACCTGTTTGGTGTAGAAGGCTCATCACCAGCTGACAGCCCCAGTCCTCACCACAGCAAAGCTGGGGATGCCATAAGGGGCTCCTCTCAGCCCTGGAGGTGCTCCGCTTATGGGAGATGTTCTGCTGTCATGGTGACCCCAGCACGACTTGGGGCTATCTCCTGCAGAGGAGGGGAAGTTCATCAGAGCTGAAGAGAAAAGGAACTCCAGGCAGAAGGAACAGCAAGTGCAAAGTCCCGGGGGTGGGGTGGGGAAGCAGGGCTGTATGGTCCCTCAGGAAGGAACAGTAAGTCTGATGAGCTGGAACCAAGTACTGAAAGGTACAAGTTATCTAGTGTAGGAGGAGAGGTGTATGATGGGAGGCTGAAGTGGCATGTACACTGGCCAAGGGATTTATTTTATTATTGTTGTTATTTTTGGTACCAGGGATCAAACTCAGGACGTTGTGCTTACCAGGCAGGCACTGTGCCACTGAGGTATAGCCCCAGATGGCCAAGGAATTTTTTTTTTTTTTTTTTTCAGAACCGAGGATTGAAATCAGGCCCTTGCGCTTGCTAGGGAAGCGCTTATTCTACTGAGCCATCTCCCCGGCCCCTGGCCAAAGGATTTAGACTTGAGTTTGCTATAGCAAATGGAAGCATCTACACCAGAAGGGGTGAACAGGAACATAAATGGCCAGAAGCAGTGAAACTGACAGGAAATAAGATAAAAAGGTCAGTGTTAGCCTGGCGATGTGAAGGGTGTTTAGGGCTGCAGGTGTAGCTCAGGGGTACAGCACTTGCCTAGCATGTGTGAGATCCTGGGTTCCATCCAAAGCACTGATGGCAGGGAGAGGCAGGTGGGTTATTCATTCACTTGGGCAAGAGTAGTGGCTGTGGTGCACAGCAAAGCCCCAAGAATCCCTTGTCTCCGTCACTTGTCTTTCATTGCTGGAGCAAAATACCTGACCCCCCAAACTTAAGGAAAGGAAAGGAAAGGAAAGGGTTATTTAGATCACAGTTAGTGGATGTTTCAGCCCATACTCAGCTGGCTCCAAAGCAGAGTAACACAAGGCAGAGGGCAACCATTCATGGTGATGGAAAACAGCAAAGAGCAAAGGCAATAGGGAGGAGCAGCGGCAGCAGTGGCAGAGGCAAGCCTCTCTCCTTATATATTTT